ACATTGCATTTATAATGGTTTCCAGATGTTGACAACAATGTACTGTACTGTACATCAAATTTCTATTAGCATTCTATTATAAAAAAAAAATTACTAACTCTCTGAGGATTTAATTTTCCTAATAAAAGCATAATTAAATCTTCATCCTCTGCAATTAAAGTTACATCTGGTTTGGTTTTTGGTGGTCCTTTATAAATCGCACCCTTTTCAGTCTTAAGATCAATAGCTAAAACATAAAATTTTAATAAATATATTTTTTTCTGAAAATATAAATGTGAAATTTAAATAAAATCTCTTACTCCATTCTGTAGCTTTCTTTTTATCTTTTAAAATGGTCCAATGATAAACCATTTTCATTTTTTTCGCTAAATCTGGTTCTTCATGCAAGCGTTCAGCAAAGATACCAAACAAAATATCTGCTTTCAGATAGGAAGGAGGCTAAATAACAAAATGAAATATAATAAGATAATTAAATTTTATATTTATAAACTTTTTTTAAATTTATAATTTTGCATTAAATAAGTTCAACAACCTCTTCAATAGTTGAATTTTCTGACTTATTTATTTCTACTTTTTCTGTTGGAACAGGTTTCTTTTGAACTGGAGGAGATGATTTCCATACGTCTTGTAATCGTTGTGTTGCTAAAATTTCACCCTGAATTTTAAATTTTCCTGACATAAATGCCTAAAATAAATAAATAATTATATAAAAATTATTGAAAATTAATAAGATTTGCATTCACTTACACATTTATAAAGAGTACAATTGTTAAAAGTTTCAATTTACCTTTTGAGGATCAACTTTTCCATTTGAAATATCTGCAAATAAGTCATCCTCCAGGATAAGAGTACAATTAGCTTTTCCACTTTTAGGTACACCTCTATATAAGTCACCACTGTCAGTTTTTAAATCTAATGCTGTATAATAATAGCCAAAATTTAAATCTTGTTTGTATTACTGCACTTTTTAAAAATTTAAAACAACAAAATAATTAAAATCAGTTTATACTTACTCCATTGTGATGCTAATTTACCATCTTTGTTT